ATATCCTACATGTCTTAAAATATTAAGGAAGTCTCAAAAGAATGGAAAAAATAAGAGCCCAAATTTTATGGCTTTTTGTCAGTTTAAATGACAAATTTAACAGATTTTATTAAAAAAAAGAAAAGCCTCAAATGAAGGTAGACATTGATGTATACACAATCTCCAAACTAGAAATTTTTATACATTTTTCTGTTTTGTAGTTCTTTTTTTTTTTTTTTCTTTTTTGCTTTCAGTGGAATTGCCCTTCATTTTCTAGAGTTTATAAATCACTTCATCTTTCACTGTAAAAGTTTTATTCTTTTACTGAAGATACAAAGAAAACTAAAGTAACATCTAATGGCCATTGTCTATACTGAAGTCCTTAACACTGCCTTCAAGGTGCCTCTCTAACAATTGTATTCTCTTTGATCATCTATTAGGTATGTGTTATCTGCATCTCCATTTATTCCTGTCTTGCATTTCCAACCTTTTAAGTCTCAAAGGTAGCCATGGTTTTCAAAAACATATCCATTGGGAAAAGATTCCCTGTGGTGTGAATGTACCGTTCCCTCACTCTTTTAGCTGAATTCAAGGCTTTCTTTGTCTGATCTCATCCTTTCAAAAGTTATATAAACTTAATTTGAAGTATTATTCAAGCTAAAAAGCTGCAGAGTAGTTACCAAAGGTTGGAAATTGGTTCCGGACTTCAGGCGTGAAGGCTGATAAGGTTATTTTAATGCCTCTGCAGTAGCACTGTGACGTCAATGTTGCGCAAAGGAGTTTATGTCCAATTTAGCATTGATCAGCCACGATAATTTAACTTGAACAAACGAGCTGATTTGCCTACTCTGACCTCTGAATCTCAGGAAATTTATACTGTGGTCATGTTCCCATAGAACTTCTCAAAGGTCTTCCCTTGCATGAAACCACTACACATCTACTTTTCAATCAATCCTTATTTTTGCCCCTTAATCTAGTTTTTGCCTTTTCATGTTAGTGACTTTACATAAACATCTAAATTGGTTATTTTCTGTTCTGTCTGGTTTGATTATATTACAGTTAGCTTGCAGGTAATAGGTAAATAACTTCAGTGTGTACGTATGACGGGCGGTGATGGCCGAATCATATGCTAGATGCTCAATGAAATATTTTTATTACTCTCATAGTATTTACACTGTCAGTTTTTATTAAGACAAATTATCGTCATTTCCATACAGCTGGATGGCATGTGGGGAGTTCACAATTTCAAAGAACTACCCAGACTAACTCAGGCAATTTAGATGTCAATAAAACATTTGCTGCTTATTTCTAGTTTTATCATTGGTTGTAATTTATACTGAGAACTGAAATGTTAACACATGTAGCTGAGTTTATTTTAATTGTATAATTAGAGTAATGAACCTTTGGAACTACAGTGGTGCAAATGCTAATATAATCTAAGCTGTTTACATTCCCATTTAGGTATTTAAAACAAATACAAAGATTGAGCTCTGTGCTTTGATACTATTTCCCTTCTGTCCCCATGTCAGCTAACATCAGCCTAAAACAGTGCAGGTACCAAATTTCCATTTATAATTATTGTTTCTACAGGGTTACAAACTTTCAGAGTGTTTTGCAGAGTTTCACGCAATATTTAATCCCATTCTTGAAAAAGTTATAGTTTAAGACGTTTATACTGGAAGAACTGATGTTAGAAAACATATTGACTGACTTTAACTGAACAAGATGAAGCAAATTCAAATGTGCCTGTATATTTGTATGCTACATGGTTGTGTTTAAACAAATATATATACTGACTTTTGTATTTTATACTAGATTAGTTTACAGGCTTTCAAAATGTATATGTTTTCTTAATGTAGGAAATGTAATATTGAAACTGTAGTAGCGCTACATCTCCACTTATCAGGATTAATGGTGATGGCATACAGCAGGGAAAAAAAATCCAATTAGTTTTTAGGTTATTGCATATTTGCAATATCAGGTCTACTCTGTTTATCTCCAGTTACTGCAACAACAAACATGAATTCATTCCCACAATGCCTTTTTTTAGAGTCATATTCTTACATCTAGCCATTATATGCTGAAGAAATACTGTAGGAAATTGATAGGCTTTTCTTACTAAAGTTTTCAGGAACATACATTTTCTGCAAGTTCTAGGAGAGTGTACTCTGCTATGTAGAACTGCATACAGGAAATTGTTTCTGGAACTGTGTCTAAAGGGATCTTTGCCCTATATGGTTATATAAAAAAAAATAAAATTAAATTAAAAAAGGCACCATGAGGATCCTGGTTTCAGATTTGACTCAGGCTGTTCATCCAGCCTTGAATCTGTTCTCAGTGACTTTAGCTTTTTATGCCTTGGTTAACCCAGCTCTAACATTTGTTGAAAAGCAAAATCCTCATGAGCACCATATGTTGTGTATGAGATGAGCAGTCTTGCATTAGTAGAACTTGTAGCCTTTGTTTAATGAGATTATTTGCAATTTTGACTAATAGCTAATTTATGTGTTACGTTATTTTACCGTTGCTTGGGATCAGTAATGTTTTTACTAGATTTGTGAGCTTAGGTGAAGTAAATTTAAGAAATTACAAACTGCGTAAAGATGCATCTTGCATTAATAATTACATGTAACTTCAGAATGTGAAACAGTAGAAGGGAGTTTTTCAAGAAAAATGCTATGCAAAAACCATTGATAGAGAAATTACTTGGTAATCATAGGTACATGGAGACATTGGGATGAAATAATCATATTATTTTGTGTAATGTATTATAGTATTAACTTGGTATGTTGTACTTTGTGTAGAATATGTTTTGATATTTACTATATTGATATTTTGAATTTTTTTTATATTTAACCATATAAACAAACACCTGTTGCAATTCCTGTCTGTGCTCTTGTACAAGCATTGCATGCCCATCCATATTCTGAATTGCAAATGGGAAATCACCTAGAATATCTAGATAATACTTCCCAGATCATATCCTAAAAAGTGTTTCACTAGCTTGTTGATCAGGGGGAAAAAAAAAAAACAAAACCCCCAAAAAAGGGGAATAATTGGTTTTGCTTTGGGTAAAGAGCAAAACTTTTTTTTTCCCTTTCATTTTTATTGAGACATACTGGGTTGTTGGAAGGAATCTACAAAAGATGGAACTTTCCAAACACAAAGAAGGAACAGGGAGGATAGGACTAGATACACACTACTATACGTTGTGTTTTTCAAGATTTTTTTTTTTTTCCTGAAATGCGTGTCTTCTAGAGGAATGATACTTTAGCTTTATTGAATCTTTCAAGTCCTTGTGCTCACCAGTGTTATTGCAAAGAGACAGATTGCTAATTGCAGCAGCTGAGCTAAAGTCAAGCCCAATCACAGCTAGCATCAGTGACTGCACCCAAGGGGTCCATCGGGAACCAAATGAGGGTGGAGAAGGTTTGCTTCTGATGGGGACCCCGACACACACACCCCCCCCCACACACACACACCCAGGTCAAAGGTGCAGTACGTTAAGTGTTTGCAAAATATTTCCTATCAGTTGGAAACAGAGTAGTGTCAGTTGAATGTTAATGTCTGACTCAAACTTCATTTGATGCTTTGTGTTGTCAAAATGCTTTATGTTGTTTTTCTGCTCACAGTCTGTTTACGTGCGTAGATCCTTTCAACATCATATCTTGATGTCTCTAGGTGGTTCCAAAACGGAAATACTACTTGGATGGTTTCTCTTACTCTTTCATCTGCCTTGTAGGAGAAAACGTATGACTGTTCTATAAAATAAATGTCTTATTTGCATATGTTGATGATAAATTCATAAATGAAGAATTTAAACTGGAAGAAATAAGTTAAAGTTAATTTTGTTCTTCTGACCCATTTGACGAAGTGCTCAAGTGCTTATATAACTTTTGAGCACGTGAGGAGTCCTTTAAAGCATCATTGACTGCTCGTTTACTTTGAGGTATGTGTGAACTGAAGTGCCATGATCACTGAAAGTTCTGTGCTAAAAGACATATGTGGTCTTGGAATTCCTGCCACGCAACCAAGTATTTTTCACGCCATCCCTTGAAACGACTTCTGAAAAAGTAGTGCTGTTGACCACTGATATGTCCTGTGGGATTTCAATGTAAAGCTGATCTTTAAAAAAATCAAATGCAGTGTCGATGCAAGAATAATCCTGAAGATTGAATCCTCCTTGAAACCTAGAGTTCAGGTATAGAAACGTCATTGACTTCTCACACTATCCTGCCTGTACCTCAGAAATCCACTCTTCAGGATCCATTTCATAATTTCAGGTTGAATGTTTGTTTCCATTTTCTCTCTAAGAATGTCCTTAAGGCCACACTGTAGGTAAGCATTTGACAGAGGTGAACAACTCGTTGCACCGAGGCTATCAAATAGTAATTGTCTTCAGTCATTACTGAACCAAATAATTTAAGATAATATGCTGAATTAAAAATGGCATTTAGGCTTTTAATTTCCTCTGCTGTTTGGTGAAAAAAGTGACGGTTTAAAAAAAGATTTTGGTTCACATGAAATTCCTGAATTCTCTGTCCATCCCTTCATTATAGGCTGCTTATGACATGTATGACCCCATGTTTCACTTGCACAGAAGCAGTAGTGATGGCTGTGGTAGTCTCTGCTAATTCAGAAATTCTAATTTTAAGTTGAACCTGTTCAACTTCATTTAACTAGCAGAAAAGATGTCGGCTGTCAGATGTGCGGTGCTTCTTGGAGCTTTTTCTGCTCAGAAATATAGGCCTTTTGCAAGAATGGATGTGCTGTCATCACACTGCCTCTTCGTTCTTACTTTTAAATGACGTGCTTGATTCACCCAGGGTCTTTGTTTCATGGATAAGGGATAATAACTCAGGTAATGCTTATAAATTGTTTGAAACTGTGGTATCCTACTTCAAGGTAAAGATGGTTTAAAATGTAGTTTCTGTAGTGATTATGATAAAATATTAAATTAGTAGGATTGTCTATGCTAGAAATTGTTCGAACAGTAATCATTTGTAATCTTAATGTTCCAGAACCCTGGGGCTGCTGGTAAAGCGATTGGAGAAAGGTGGAAAAGCTGAACAAGAAAACCTTTTTCGTGAGAATGATTGTATTGTCAGGATTAACGATGGAGACCTTCGGAATAGGAGATTTGAACAGTAAGTATTCTTACTGCATGTTAACATTCCATTATTAAATCTTTAACACTGCACCTTGTGGTAGTTTGAGGAAATAAAGTATTTAAGAAAAAAATATCTAAGCTTGCCTTTCTAATAGATACACTGAGAGACATTAGTGGTTTTTAATTAGCCAAACTACAAAAAATTCAGGATAATTATTGTCATTAGAGTGTATGCACTTTATGGATTTTTTTTTTTTTTTTCTTCTTGCGTTGGTAAACTGTTCATTGTGAAAACCCCATGTGATTTTTGGTCTTACACTTGCAATGCATCATGTTGAATATCTGTGGACAGCATGGAGACTTTATTTTTAACATTTTTAAAATATTTGTGGTTTTTCATATGTGAGAACTAAAGGTACTATATGCAGAAACTTCCTGGAGAAGTTTGAGAGATCACAAATACTTGCTCATTGAAAGCCTGGACTTGGTAGAATCCCGAAATGGTGAATCAGAAAGACTTTTGGAAGTGAAATCAGCTTGTAGGTCACACACAGATAATTAAAAGAGAAAGCAGAAGAGGGGTATGCAGAAAACGAATGATTTCAAAGATGATACTGTTGCTCTGAAAACACTAACATGTTGAGGGCCAAAGGAATATAATTTATTCTGATCGTCCTATACTTAATATACATTTGAAATGTGTTTTTTATTTCTTTGACTCTAACCTGGATTGGAACATGACCCTGTACCATATGGTGGAAAGCAGCTTGTCTCAGCTTGTTCTAAGGTTCTGAATCACAATTTGTTAGGTCTGTGAAAAGAGTTGTTGACTTTGTGTACTTTGGATCATGACCCAGAGCCTGATGTCCATCTGTGCAGGATTAAGCATTTTTTTCCTATTTCTTAAAATGTTCTGAAAAACTACTAACTTAGAAAAAGTAAAGCGTAAACTAGACTTTTTGCAAGCCTGCATGTACTCTCAGCAAACTATGGAAATACATATTCTTTGTATAACGTGTAATTTTCATTCTAATAATTCTGTTGTCACTGTGATTACTGCATCTGAAGAAGCAATTATCAAGGTTCAAGACAAAAGGACATTGCAGTCCTGCCATAGAACTGTCTGCATTTCACGACTGTGGTTAAGATTTTTGTTTTTCCAAGTGCAGTATTTGGTATTTTAGTTGTTAAGCATATTTAACCATTGTGTTACCCTAAGGCAATAAACCTTAGCAAAAAGCAGACCAAGACGACTAGTGAACAGATTCAAGTTTTATGGTTTACGCTTGAGTGCAAGGTGTCTGTCAGCTCATGTTGCTTAATTAACATCAGTAATTATGCTTATAATGTCTTGTAGTCTGCCAGTCCTAATTTGCTAATTTTCTGTTCATTTTGAAACCTAGAGCACAGCATATGTTTCGCCAAGCCATGCGTACGCCGTTCATTTGGTTCCACGTGGTCCCTGCGGCAAATAAAGAGCAGTATGAACAGTTGTCCCAAAGTGAGAAGAACACGTACTACTCCAGCCGGTTCAGTCCCGATTCCCAGTATGCTGACGGCAAAAGTATTAACAATTCTGGACTTCACACGTTACAAAGAATGTCTCGAGCGGGTAACCAGTCTGATCAGACAGACTCCTACTCGCAGCTACCTCATAGTGTGAATTCATCAGGGAAACCACCCTCGGGCCTGGTACCATCACCTCAGAAAGTTCTCACCTCCACTGCAAACAGTGGGTATAACACCAAAAAGATAGGGAAGAGGCTCAGTATACAACTGAGAAAAGGTAAGGCAGTAGCACGCTCCTCATATAGCATGAGATACGTGTGCGTAGTGTATGTACATGTGTCCAACGACGTTGGATTGGGCAGGACAGCTTGCAGTAGCATGGGGGATGCGATGGGTTGATTTCTGAAGGCAAGGGGCTGAGTTGTCCCTGACAGCGCGACCAGGGTCCAGCTGTGCATTCACATCCTGCAGTGTGTTTGCAAAAGGCTGTTTTGCAGAGTTAGCTTTGCTGTTCTCTTGTTGGCTTTAACATTGTTTTCTGTCTCTCAACTAATAGAGAAGTGCAGCGAGTGCTACAAATTCAGAGAGGTTGTGGAGGCTCCATCCCTGGAAGTGTTTAAGACCAGGTTGGATGAGGCTTTGCGCAATGTGATCTAGTGGAGGGTGTCCCTGCCCATGGCAGGAGGGTTGGAACCAGATGGTCTTTAAGGTCCCTTCCAACCCAAACCATTCTGTGGTTCTATGAAATTCTGTTGGCGAAGACCAAGGGAGTGGTGAACTATTTAACAGAAGTAAATTAGCTAAAATGGCCTACATTCTGTACTTTAGAGATATCATGACTTTTCAATTGAATAGCTGTGGTTTTGCTGTTAAATTTTAAGAGTGTGTTGGATCCAGTTGGTAAATTGGACTTTCTTATTTCCAGCTAAAGCTTTTCTTTATTCCGCTGGGATGTGAAAGTCTTTGTTTAAATGGTTGAGATGTAATGTGATATTTCCTATTTTGGGCTTTATGCTAATATAGTTTGAATGAGGGTGAGAGACTGTTTAAGGGCAGAGAAGAAAGCAGTGCATGCTTATCTCAACATCTGTGTTATATGTGCACATGTAGATGCATTGGTACATCCGCGGAATTTTTATGATGTGTTAAGTGTCCTAAGTGAGAAAGTTTGGTATTTTTGTGTAGTTACTATCCAGATGCTTTTAAGATAGTTTGCATTATAATAAAATGACATTTGGAATCGAGCATTTCTTAGCTCTTGGGAAATGCTTTTTTAAAAAAGGATTATACATGCTGTAAGCTTTATGGTATTAAAATGAGCGTGTTTAAGGTTAGACATAATTTGATCTCTAGGAGCAAAAATAGGGTTTACATTAGACAGCAAAAAGTTTACTCCGTGAACTCAAAGAACATTCCCTTTAGGATATTGTGTGGGCTTAGTGTTAATAATTCTTATTTAATGAATCCTTTTATTGAAGAGTATCAAAGACAGTGCACTGAATGGCAGAGATTTTACAGTTTCACAGGTACCAGGCTACTTGTCACATTATCATTATGCTTTCCTTTCTGTGAACTTCACATGAACCACCAGATTGCTTCTTTCTGGTTGCTGAATTTTAAGCTCTACAAACTTGGATGACATAAGGTTGAGTTGACAGTTTGCTTCTGTTGTTGATGCTCCTTCAAGAAACTCTTCAGGCCATCAGCTCAAATCAGCCTGTTTGGAAAAACTTATTGTTATTGGCTGAGTAAGGAATCACCGTGCTTATAAATATGCTTTCAGTCACTATGGTGATTTTTACCTATTTTTTTTTATGTCTGTGGAAACCTGTAGAAATATCACTTGGACATTACATAAAAGAATTCTTAGCCAGGAGTGGAAATGCACATTTCATATAATTTAAAAGCACCAACAAAAGCATATAGAATATAGGAATACAGTATTTTTGCACAAACAAACGTGATGTTACAGCTGCTGATAAGATCTGAGAATATAATTTCGATATGTTATGGATACTTTGACTGTGATGTGAGGTTACATTTTGGTCATCTTGCACTGGATACTGTTTCATAAATATTCTCCCCACTTCTATAATGTAATTTAGCCTTGCTGGCCCCAATATATTAGATGGTATTGGAGTGAAGGAGAGGCAAGTTACCTGTTGCTGGAAAGCGATCTATAAGATACTTTAACATCTAGTTCACAACAGAGAAGTTTGTTGGCTCTTACACTAGTAAAAGCTTTTAAATTCATATCTAGAATGTATTTCAAAAGTTTAGAGGGGTTATTTGTTCCTAACAGTTTGCTTATGTGAGAATACTACTTATGAAGAAATGACATCTAGCTCAGATTATAGACAGACAAAAAGTATTTAGTGTAGTGAATTTTACACGTGGTGATATTAAAAAAAAAGTCCATAAGGAAGGGTACCTTTTTACCTTTGCTGTCTTTCATTTGTTAATATCCGCTGTTTAAGGAGGCATACCCCCCCATTTTGGCTTTCATTTGATCTCTCTGAAAACATACACATGGAGCAACAAATGAAGCAAAACACTTAAGGATGCTCCCAAGTACTTTGTTATAAATATGAGTGCAGGGGTGTTGATTGTCTTTGATTATTTCTAATAAAGGATGTTGCAATAATACAGGCTTTATAGATATTTAACAAAGGTGCTTTCTTTGTAGCTAACAGACAGCAGTTATTTCACTGATTACCATCATTAGATTGTGGGTGCATTAAGGCATACAAGCATGTAAGGCTTCATCTTGAAATTCATTTTTGATTTAACCTGCGCATTCTGGTTAATGATTTAGTACAGGAGAATTGCCTCCTCAGTACAGATAGACCTTCCTTTATTACAGCTGTGTTTCTATATATTGCATGAGCTTTATTATATAAGATGACATGGTAAGACAACCCTACAGTATGTGCTTCTGTAATTATGATTTCTTAATATTTATTGCTGTTTTGGCATTTTAAAATAACCTGAACTTTCATAGGATTTAGCTGTTTAATAAAGTCAGAAGAGAAGGTCAGTCATATGTTTCAGTCAATGCAGAATGTTTGTTGGCTTTTCTAAATGAAAATGGATATCTGTTTATCTTTCCTTAAAGGTCAGGGCCTGAACTTTTAGCATATAGATGTAGGGGTTATTGCTGATATTCTAATGCCATTAAGGCTGTATAACGGTCTAGCTTAATAGCTCACCCAAATTAAGATAGTACAAGAGATGACAGTGAGCCTGTGTTTATATATATTTTGGTGTAAGCTGATACACAGTAAGCATAAATAAGCAAAAATGGTTCTTTACAGCTAATACATAGAGAAAATAAGACCACTGATGTAACACCCGGAGTGTTAGGACAAATGTTGACCTCATATACAGCAGGACAAATCCAGAGTGTTTTTTTTTCTTTGGCTGCAAGAGTTTGAGCCAATGCACTTGAGAGAAATTTAGTCCAGCACTTATAAATAATAAATAACCAATTATACAGAAATGATTCTAAGGCTTAGTCTTTGAGCATTGAGTAACTCACGGTGGTTAGCCTGATACTCACTAAAGGATTCAAAAGAGTGCTTTTCAATTGGACATTGTATTACTCAGATATCATATATACTGCTTTTTACATCACTGTGCTAAGACAAGCCTGAAGTAGTCAGTCTTTAAATTAGCTTCATTTTATTTGATTGCCCTTAAGTAAGGGCCTTAATACTCATTGCATCAGATCATTTCTATCTGTAACTACGTATTTGTCTAGCTAAATTAAATATATAATTCTTTCGCTAAAATGTCAAAACGGAGCTCTTGTTTTCTTAGTTGGTCCTAGTTCCACCAAATATTTTGCTATTTATTTTGTTTGGAGTATTCAGTGAATCAGGACTTTAGTCCACATCTCCCTGCTTCCAGGGAGCGACCTATGTACTGGCCATGGGAGTTAGGATCATCTTTTCCTTTTTGGCCCAAAGAATGTTTCTCTCTTGCAAAATAGCATAGCTTCCAGAGAAAGAAACGAGTGACACAACCGCAGGATACCTTACAGCAGGAAAGCTGTAGGAATGGCCAAGTCCATCACAGAAGGGGAGTAGCAGCCATGTTCTAGGAGATGGCGAGTCCTGAGAGGAAATTATTTCAGCTTCTTGTTGCAGTGCAGTGGAGGGCAATGGTTGAACGGTAGATGTGAGGAGGATTACAAGACACTTTGCTGTTCAGAGTGTCTTGTTGGATTCCTGTTTGTCTTGCCAGCCCTTCTGTGGTTAATAATGCTCCATCTTACATACAGAGCCAAGCTTAAACACTGCAAGTCCCACCAGGTGAGTGGGCATTCAGTGTTACCGTGCAGTGACACTCAGCCGTGCCCCACCCGAGTTCCTTTCTGCAAGTCGTTAGAGACACAAATAAGATGCCGTGGATAGTTTGGGAGTACTCTAATTTAAAATGGTACCGTATTTGCTATGGAATAAAGCACATATATATGGATGATTACTTGTTTTACTTGGGTTTATAGAGGAGAACATACAAGATGGGACCCTGAACTTGTCTGTCAGATATCCTGCATCGTGTATCTGAAGTGTACAGATTTACATGCATTTTTCATCATACTCTCCTGTTTTCCCACACAGTTTCTTGAGCCAGACTTTGAACTGACATTTTAAATTTTTATTTAAAATTTCTTATGAAGTGATATATTCTCTTAGACTGATTTTAGAATTCCTGTTCAGATGTAGTAGGGGTGTTTGGTGCTTTTGAAATGAAACATGTAGATTCCAAATTACTTAAATGACCTTGAGAAATGTGATTCAAAAGTGAAACAAATAATTTTGGACATTATTAGCCACTGAAGAAAGGTAAACTGCATCAAGTTTCATCTTTCCATTTTTCAAAACCACTTCTGATCACTATTTATTAGCAGGCTATAGCAAAAAGGTAAGAATGTCTCTATTAGGTTGATCAAAGATTTCCTTGAAAGATCTGAGCTTTGCGTGGAGAAAAAAAAAATGTTGTTCCAAATCACTCAACTACACAAAAATGGGCATGCAATTAATTTGTCTGGATTGTGCATGTGGCTACAGAAGCTGAGCAGTCAGCCTTGTAGGCAGTCGTTTGCACGTACAGTTACCCTGACTACACATACACAAATCCTGAAAATACGGGCCTTAAACTAGGAGCAGTAAAGTAATTTTTCAGGAGGTATCTAAAATGATGTTGGTTAGTTTAGTGAAGCCCCTGACAATGAGGAGAGCATATTTGCTGTTCAGCTCTTGCATGAGGTCCAGTCCTTGATAAAAACTGCTTTCTAGCATAAAACAGTAGGATCGTTATTTCAGCAATCATCCATCCATCCATGGATCTCAAGAAAGAGTCTACTGTGAAAAAGCAGGAACTTGAAATGCTTGGAAGGAGAGTGTCTGCTCCGACGATTGTCAGAGAACGTTTGGCCCTTCTGCTTAGTTTTATTGTAATGTTATCTCGCTCCTTATTCTGGATCATTTTATAATCTAATACTTTCATTAACTGTGGTGCTTTATTTTGTAATTTTTGTGACTTTGTGTCACAAACCGTTTCTGTGTGTAACCATGCTCCATTATTGTTTTAGGAAAGGGAGGGTGTGTTCTTTGTCTTTCACGAAGAATCTGTACTTTTCCTTCACAATCCTTTATTCCATCTGAGGACTGTTCACCCACATGGATTTTCCATATTTAGGTTGTTCTGAAATGTTTTCTGCTTCTCTTGCATAAGTACTACCGAGTGTAGTGCCCAATTGTCTGGTTATCAAACATTTTCCATTGTTTCAGAAGTGAGATTTCTTTTTTTTTTTCTTTTT